TTCAAGGCACTTTTCGTTTTTCTCCCCTCTGTGTGTTTTCTGATGACTCCGAAGAGATGAACTATAGGTGAAACATTTTCCACACTCAAAGCATTTGTAAGGTTTTATTCCTGCATGAATCTTCTCATGACTCCGAAGAGCTGAACCCTGGGTGAAACATTTTCCACACTCAAAGCATTTGTAAGATTTTATTCCCACATGAGTCTTTCCATGGATCCAAAGACCTGAGTTCTGAGAAAAGCTCTTCCCACATTCCCAACACTTGTAAGGTTTCTCCCCGGTGTGAATCCTCTCGTGGTTTCTGAGAGTGGCTTTTTGACGGAAAAATTTCCCACATTCCAGACATTCATAAGGTTTCTCTCCAGTGTGGATTTTCTGATGTGTACGAAGGTGTGACTTTTTACTAAAGCATAAGTCACATTCCTCACATTTATAGGGTTTTAGTGTTGGGGAGCTTCTGAGATCTTTGGAGTTTTTCCCAGAGAAAGATTTCTCACCCTCCAAACCTTCACTGGATCCACTTCCCACATGGATCTTCCTGTGGGTCAAAAGGAGGGACCTGCAAGCAAAGGATTTCCCACACTCTGGGCATTCATGGGTTCTTTTGGGCGTTCTTGGAGTGCTGCTTGTGTCTGACGGGGGATCCGAGAGTTTCCCACGCTTCATGCTTTCCCTTGGCTGCTGCCTGGGGCTGAATTTTTACTATCACTTGTTAGTTGTCTTGAAGGTAAATCTTCGGTCATAGTTGTTTTCCTGCTGATGGAAAAAAAAAAGAGAACATTATTTCCTTTCGAGAAACACAGAAAATCACAAAATGGTTGAAGGCAAGATGCTGACATTTCTAATCTGCTCAGAGAGTGCTGTAAAGCCCTATATATCTAAGTCGAAGTGCTATCGCTATTGCTAATAACAACCGCAACAGTGAGGGCAGAATTAGAGTTCTTCAGCAAAGTGGTCATGTGATGGATGACTCGTGTAATGACCACTTTCCTCAGGAAAGGAGTTTGCAGCCCAGTTGTAGTTGTAAGTAGAGGACTGCCTATAGCAGTGCTGGCTAACCTTTTTCAGCTCCTGTGCCGATAATTGCGCGGGCGCTCCTACACCCACGTGCCACAACCCAAAAGGCGATGAAGCTGGGCCCCCCCACCTCCTGCACATGCGGCGCACGATCATCCCCGCATTCCATCCACTGAGCAAGCGTGCATGACCCCCCCGTACGTTGTGCATCTCTGCGCATGCGCACGTGTCTCCTGCACAACCCCGCCCTCCCCACATGGGCGCCAGATATCCGACAATGAGCTGTCGGGCGGCGGCAATGTGTGCACGTGCGCAGTAGGGCTCTTCCAGGCGAGCTCTCGCGTGCCGCAGAGATGGCTCAGTGTGCCACTTCCGGCATGCGTGTCACAGGTTCGGTAACATGGGCCTATAGGAAACACAAAAGTCAAGGCAAAAAGTTTCACTGCATTGCTGTTTTGTGAAATAAAGATGAGAAAGAAATGAAGGCAAATATACTTTATGTGTCCCAGGATGAAGTTGCAGGATCCAATCTGAGTCGGTCACCGGGATCCGAGGTTTTGTCTTCCGAGCTTTCGGACTCGTGCTGGAGCCCATCTTCAGGGAACTTCTCTCTAGCAGAGTGTGTGTCCTGTTGTGTGTGTGGTGTGGTTGTGTGTGTAGACCACACACACAACAGGACACACTCTGCTAGAGAGAAGTTCCCTGAAGATGGGCTCCACTACGCATCGGAAAGCTCGGAAGACAAAACCTCGGATCCTGATGAAAAATGCTTATCTTCCAAACCACAATTTAATTAAGATTTAGATCATCCCAAATGGAAGAAACCAGCAGGATGAAGTCCAACAGGGACCCATGCACAGTTGTGAGTAGGAAACCTCAAAGGAAGAGGAGAGAGACCAGATGGGGAAGAGCATGTGTGAAAAGGGCCGATCTCCTCCCATTCCCTCACTCCACAAGGCAAGAGGTCGAAGCAGAGTTTGGAATGAAGTGGGATGCCGGCTGACCTTGAAGCAGCATCTGGAGGAGATACCACCCTTACTTTCATCTCCCCCCCCACCAAGCATTCTGCCTCCCCCTGGTCCATGGCAGCCACTCACAGAAAAGGAAGCAGAGGAAACCATCCGGTTGCCTCAAAACCTCCTTAAAACCTTCACTTTGTAAAACATCCCCCACGAAGGGCCACATCCCAGCCCCTTCTGGGCAAAACAAGGAAAATGTTGGTTTTATTTCAGATTCTACCGAGCTTTTACATTCAGAAGCAGAATGAAGATCAGAACAAAGGATTTCATTGTTCTCCTTTTAAACTGAACTCAAAAGAAAAAGGATCTCTTGTGGGTTTAAAACAACATGAATACAATTCAATTACTTTAAAGCTTTGCTTTCCCTCCAAACTCTCCCCTCCCCATTGCAATGAGGTCAGTCCGCGTTACAAACCACAACAAAGGTTTTAAAGCCCCGTTTACTCCTTTTTTTTTTTTCCAACTGCACGTGCGGGATCTGGATGCTTCAGAGACTTCGTGCTTTGACGGACCACAGAGAGAACTTCTGAAGCAACTTACCCAAAGCTCCTTCCCGGATTTCCGAGCCCTCCCGAGCCCCCCCGACGAGCCTTGGCCGGGCGAGGAGGGGGCAGATCCAGCCCGGGGAGGGAGCCCCCTTTGCCCCCTCCGGAGGGAAGGGAGGGATCCGCTCCCTGCAGGCGACGCCAGAGCCGGATCTCCCCGAGGAAAACCCGGCAAGCGCAAGAGCGGGATCCCTACCTGCCTTCCTCCTGGCGGGGGGAAGATCTCCCCCCGAGGAGGAGGAGGATGAGGAGGAGGGGCGGCCTGGAGGGAGAGCAGCCTCACCTGCCACGAGCGGCACCCAGGAGCCTCTCCCGACGAATCCAGCGCCGATCCTGCAAGGAAGAAGCAGGAACCGCGGAGGAAAATGGCGATCCAGAAAGCGGGAGGAGGGGGCGAGGTTTCGGGCGGCCTCTCGGATTCGACCCCCCGCCTCCTCTTCCTCCCCCTCCGCCCCACCCCTCTAATCTCCCCCCTCCCCCAGCCGGGATCACGTGCTCCGAAGCTTCCTCC